CAAAATATTCAAAAGAATATAAAAACCCAATAATTGGAAATTTCGCTAATGATAATAAATTAATAGATATATGGAGATTGTTAAACAAAGATGTCAAGCAATTTACCTGGCACAAACCTAAAGGTCAAAGCAGGTCACGTATTGACTATTGGTTGGTATCCAACTCAATTTTACAACATGTTAAGGAAACAATAATCTCTAATGGCCCCTTAAGTGACCATTGCTCCATTATTTTAAGACTACAAAGCAAAGACCAAAACAACACATTTAGGGATTATTGGAAATTTAACTCTCAGCTGCTGAGAAATGAGGAGTATTGTAATTCTATTAAAAAAATAATTTTAGATATCCAGGATGATGAGGCCATCAGTACACCGATATCCAAATGGGAATATCTTAAATTTAGAATCAGGAAATCCTCAATCGAATTCGGTAAAAAATTAAACAAACAAAGGAAAGAAGAGGAAACAAATGTAGTAAAAGAACTTATGACTCTTTATGGCAAATTGAATTGGACTGAGGTAGAAAAAGAAAAAATTAACAATTTACTGACTAAATTGGACGGAATGTATCTTTATAGAGCCAAGGGTGCTTATTTGCGATCCAAAGCCAACTGGATAGAAGAGGGTGAAAAAAACACTGCCTATTTCTGCAATCTAGAAAAACGTAGACAAGAATCTAATTCAATATGTAACCTAATAATCAATGGAGAGGAATGTACTGACCCTAAACGCATTTCGAATGAAGTATTTACTTTTTACAGTAACCTTTATAGGTCCTCATACTCAGAACCAAATGTCTCTTCCTTTTTTGACAAAATCAGCAATTGTATTCCTGTAATTCATGATAATTTTAGAGAAATTTGTGATAAACACCTAACTATAGAAGAATTTGATTTTGCTATTAAGAGCATGGCATCTGATCGATCACCAGGACCAGATGGAATAACAACTAACTTCTATAAGCACTTCTGGGAAGATTTAAAATTACTATTATTCAGAGCGTTAAATGAATGTATTAATCAAAAGGAGCTTACGACATCAATGAAACAAGGAGTTATAAAATTGATTCCAAAACCTGGAAAACATAAGAAAAAACTATGTAATCTAAGGCCTATCACACTCCTAAATACGGACTACAAAATTTTTACAAAAGTTTTAGCTACAAGACTAAAAATAGGTATTTCTGAAATAATTAGCCCAACACAATCAGGATTTCTCAAAGGACGGTTGATCCAAAATAATATCCGTTTGGTTTTAGACCTTATTGATTACAATTACCTAATTAAGGATGATGGTTTTTTGCTGTTCTTGAATTTCCATAAAGCATTTGATTCTATCGAACATACTTTTATTTTTAAGACACTTAAACATTTTGGATTTGGAAATGCATTTCTGGATATGATCACTATGTTGTACACTGATATTAATAGTTGTGTTTCTCTTTCAGAAGGCACATGTCCCAGGTTCGGGGTGGAAAGAGGCATCAGGCAAGGCTGCAGCATCTCACCCCTTTTATTTATTGTAGCTACTGAATTACTTGCTATTACTGTTAATAAATCGAACATCAAAGGCTTAGATATAAATAATCACAAATTAATTATAAGTCAGCTTGCCGATTGTCACGATCGGGTAAGAAGGCGAGCAGGGAAGCAAGAGAGCAAGCCAAACTTACGGGCAATCAGGGGTGTAATGGGTCAACGGACAGACACGTAGAGACATCCACGGACACTACATCACAATGACAAATCTGGGGTACACTGACTGAGACTAGGACTAAATACATGAGACTAGGCAAACGTAACAGGCAACAGGTGAGAACAATCAGGTTTCGACAGGAGGTAATGAGGGGGCGTGGCACACACAAGGAGCGTTCGGAGCTGAATGTGACATAACCCCCCCCCAAAGGCGCGCACACCGGGCGTGCCCGAGGGGAGGCGACGGACGAGACGAGGGGCAGGAACTGAAAAACAAAAGCAAGACATCAACGAGGAAGAGGGAACAAGATCGAGACAGGGGCAAGACCCACGACAAAACCCCACACAAGACCGGAAACGCGGACAGACAGACAGAGAAGGGAGACACGGAGGAAGCACCCACAGGCGACACGAAGGGGCCAGGAGTGCACGGAGGAGAAACACAGGGACGAGGAGGAGAAACAGGCGGGACGAAGAAAGGAGGAGCAGACAGGGGAGACCAGACAGGAACGGAAGGGGGACAAAGGGGAGTCCGAGGGAGCCCAGGCGGGCGACGGGTGGCAGCCGGAGGGGCCGCAGGCAACAGGAAGGAGGGAGCAGGAGGGGACCACGAAGGGAACAAGGAGACAGGGCAAGGGACAGACGGAGAAGACAAGGAGGGAGTCGGAGGGGCCAACAGCAAAGGGAAGGAGGAGGGGGAAGCTGCAGCCAGCGAAGGCGCTACCACAGTGGGCGGAGGCGCCGTCCGCCGACGTGCCGGCGCAGGGGGATCCACAGGCGACCGACGAGGAGTCGGAGGCGGGACCGAGGCCGGGGGACGAGGCCACGGAGGGGGGCCCGCAGGCGACCGCCGACCCAGAGCCGGAGGAGCCGCAGGCGCGCCCCGAGCCCCAGCCAAAGCGAGCGAGGGCGAGCCAGGGGGCAGGGTGGGCGGGACCCAGGCCCGACGCCTGTGTCCCCGTCCCTTACGGGAAACTGACAGGCGGGGTCCAGGGGGGTGTCTGCCTCGCTGAAGCAAGGGTGAGGGAGTCTCTAGGGAGGTCCCCGAGGGGTCCCACTCAAGCTCCTCCTCCTCCAAGGAGAGAGGAGCGGGGGTCCGATTGTCCGGGACCTCCTCAGGGACTAGGGCCAGTGCTGGGGGAACCTGAGTCAATGCCGCAGGAGCCGCGGGCGTGGCCGCAGGCTGGACAGGCAGTTCAGAAGAGCAGGGCTGGATGGGCAGGACATGAGAGCTGGGCTGGACGGGCAGGACATGAGAGCTGGGCTGGACGGGGTGGACAGGAGAGCTGGGCTGGACGGGCTGGACAGGAGAGCCGGGCGGCGACCTCAGGCGGTGCCGCGGGCAGAGCGAACGTGCGGCCACCAGGGGGCGCTGCAGGAGGAGCGGCGGCAGCAGGCTGCAGACGGAGCAGCTGCCTCAGGGTTTCTTCCACCCGGGCTAGCTGTTGGAGTGGGGAATCAGGGGCTGCCATGGCAAACTCCCTGCGGAGTTGCTCCAGGAGTGGATCTGCCTCCAGGGAGTCTGTTATGGCGGGTTCGCCAACCACCCGCCAGTACTGCTCCTGCAGGAGGTAATACCTGCTGACATCCTCCAGGCAGGGCTGTGGCTCAGATGCTGCAGCAGGTACCTTGGCCGTGTGGCCAGCAGGGGGCGCCGCCAACATGTGGCCAGCAGGGGGCGCCTCGGCGGGCGTGCGGCCAGCAGGGGGCGCCTCGGCGGGCGCCACCGTCACGCGGCCAGCAGAGGGCGCAGCCGCGGGCGCCTAGGCCGCAGGCGCCTAGGCCGTAGGCAGAGCTAGCGGGTCAGGCAGGACAGGCGGGTCAGGCAGGACAGGCGGTGCCGCTGGCAAAGCGGCGGCAGCTGCAGGCGGTGCCGCGGGCAGAGCGCCGGCAGCAGCAGCAGGCGGTGCCACGGGCAGAGCGGCGGCAGCAGCAGCAGGCGTTGCCGCGGGCAGTGCGGCGGCAACAGCAGCAGGTGCTGCTTGCAGGTCCGGAGTATGCAGGTCCGGATCAGGTATGCCTGGGACTACCCCTTTAAGAGCATTAGGGACCCGGGGAATTGCGTCTCTCATGGCGCTGATCCCTCTTCCGGGTAAGCGTTCTGGCTGGTCAGCACAAGCCTCCCTGGCGGGGAGCAGAGAGCAAGCTCCCAGGAAGAGCATTGGGGCTTCTTCTGCTGGTTCTCTGCTCCGCTTCTCCCAGCTGTTTGTCAGGCGCTGACTCAGGCGGCGAAGGCATTTGCGTGCCCTTCGGAGGGGATAGTCCTGTCCGGGCGGGCGCTCTTCCT